TCGCATATCAACTTTTTGAATAAATCGACACAAACTCGGCCAATTAGGCGGGAATCATGTTCCGGATTATATACTTGGAACATCGGAAAAAAAAAAAAAACGTACGCGAAGGTGTTCGCATTGCTACAAACGTTAAGATCAGGAAGGAATCGCGTTACTGCTGTTCGCTTTGCAAAGTCCCATTGTGTATAGTACCCTGTTTCGCTGAATATCACTCCACAACTTATGTTATAAATACTTTAGTATAAAACTAAACCCATCTTTTTCCCAATATCACCAGCGCAACTTACTCTGTGATTGATGAATATACTCGTGATGGCGATACAAAACGGTGCGCACTCTTAAATGAGGGTGCCACAATTAACTGGTTAATCATTTTATTATCTGTGTATGAGCTATACACATACTCAGTTTTCAAACAACAACTCTTCCTTCATGGTTTGTTTTTTTTGCAAAGAGTGTATGTTATGTGAACACCGAAATCTGGAGAATGGTCAACACGGTGAATGTCAACATTCACATAGTCTCTTGGTGTAGTCCGAAATATTTTCCAAATTCCTTTTTTTGACTTACATGCTCAATGTCGACATTCACCAGTACTAATGGGTGTGAACATATAACAATATTATATTCTTCTCCGTAATTCAGTCGCGAATAAACGCACTTGAATTGGAAAATAGAAATGAGAACCTAAAACACAATACATTCAAAATGAGAAAGGAAAATAATAGAAGTTAAAACTTACTTAATTATACAGTAATTCTAAATGAAAATAAAAGAACAGTAATAAACACTTAACTAAATTATGTGATCAATCTATTTATTGCACAAATTAAATTATTATGGCACTTTATGACCTTGTTAGAGCACTCACTTCTCATCTCACCCTAGATGGCTGCGCTATGCAGGAAGCAGTTATTCGAAGACTTTCGCCGTAGCTTGAAATTGTAACAAATAATATAAATTATAAAAATATGATAATTGTAAAGGATAGATATGTTAATGTACCTTCCAAATAATTTGTAAAGTTTTTTTTTGTAATTTTCTAATTTTAATTGTTTATTAATTTTCGTATTTTAACTGCAGTTCAATGTAACTTTGAACTGTGAGAGAGTTTGTCTGTCTGGCAGTTAGGAGCTTTGTTGGCTGGGTGGTGGAGCATGGAAAAATAAAACTCTTGCATTATTTCAATTTAGTTTTGCTGATTTGTTTTATGTAGCAGGATCTTTATTTATTGCGCAGACAACCCTTCTTTCGACTTTCCCAGAGATTCTGTGATTGTCGACCATACACCGGTGAGGGTCCGAATATACAAGAATGTAGTGAAATATTCGGTCTTCCACCGATGTATTTGGTGAATGTTGATATTCTCCGGTGAAAGTCGACATTCTCCAATTTCGGTCTTTCACGGTAACACATATATGTATGTAATGCCAGCAAACTTGAAAGCCATAATGATGTAGAAATACTGATTGTACAGAATATTCATCCGTAAAGAGAGCAAACTATGCAGATTAAATATTCATCTTTAAAAACATGTTCCAGCCACAAACAACTTGGCACACTTATTGTGCCTATTTTAAAACATTTACATTTTTGATAGCTTTCCAGTTAGAGAGCAGCAGTCCAGCTATGTCAAAATTCAGAAAGCAAGTTTTGTTACAGTTTAAATCCCTATTCAGATTGAGTTAATTTCAATTGTCAAAGCATTTGATTGGATAATGGATACTGCTGTAAAATTATTATTGGCTGTTTGAGTTTTAATTACATTTACATCCCCAGCATTATGCAAGAGTCAAGAGACATGGATTAGTCTGGAAATGAAGCAAAAAAAGAATATTATTTTTAGAAATAGGGGAAATATCCAAATTAAAATTTAGCATTCAGGAACTGTTACTAATTTATAAATGATCTTTTACGTATTTCTCTTATCTTACATATAAGTTTGTTGAATCGCTACTGCGTACATATCACACCCAGCATTAACTCAGTAAGCATATTTTTTCTCATTATCATTTAATTTTGATGACCAGTGCATTGTATGTTAAGTTACTCATATCATTATACTCAAGTGCATGCTGCATTTGGTAGTTTTTCTCAATAAAATCCAAAACATCAGGACCTTTACCTAGCCCTGATATGTGAAGCTGTTATCACGCATAATTACTTTTCATGGCAGGTTTTCAAAGATGGTTGCAAGAATAAGAGATAAGATACTGCTGTTAACATCAGCTGAGGTGAGTGGTTAATGAATAAATGAAACTTTCTGTGTGCTCTTTGATGAATTCATTTATTATAATGGAAAGGTGGTAATGTGTAATATGGTAGTCTGCACTGGCAGGTTTCACATGTTACAAATCCGCAGTGTGACATATGAATTATAAAAATTATGTTTAGTGTGAGTCAGTTCATGATCAATGAACACTAGTGGCATGGCAAATATTATTTTGTCAGTTTCCCTCCATTCCTATCTCTAGGCAGAAAGTCTTTGCATTGCTTAAAATGTTGATTGCCGCACACATTTTACGTGGTTTGCTTATGGTGTCAATGTGAATTTTTATTATGTTAATATATTATCTACAGAAGATAAAGTGAGTTATTTAATCCATTTAATGCATTTTTGGTGGTGGTGGGGGCACTGTAGACCATTTTTGCAATTCATTATTCTTCAAACCATTATAGTAACAATGGTATTATTTTTAAATTTATCAGTATCAATATTTACTTTAATTATGCATTTTACTATTGGTCGTGTTGCCGGTGGCCACGATGGCAGTCAACGTGTTAAAATAGCAATGTGTTGCAATTTTATTTTGTGATTTTCTTTGGCCTGCTGGCATGCAGATGTTAGTGCAGTAAATCGTACAAAAAACTGCATTTTTGTAACCAGTTTTCTGAACAATACTCTAAAATATTTATTACAGCACTAATATTTTTTAATAAAATATTTATAATGATATGGAAATAACATAACAAAACATTAACATATGCATTGCCCAAACTTCTCAGTCTACATTATTTTTAATAATTCATAAGAAATTAATGTTTTATTTTTAATTACTATAGTTTTGTGTTAAATTATTTAATATGCAATCACAGACACAAAGTTTTTGTAACAATTTATTTTCAACATTAATGAATAATATAAAGTATTACAGGTTTCTGGAGTAAAAAAAAAAAAAATTTCATTGTCAAAAAAAAAAAAAAAAAAAAAAAAAAAAAAGAGTAACAAATGAAGTAAATTTTAAAGCAGTAGTAATGCAATGATGATTGTAAAGTTCCTAAACTGTGAATTAAAAAAAAATAACATGATTGAAGAAACTGGCATGGTTTAAAGATGAATTCTGACACTAGAGCAGAAATGTTATTTACTTGAAGCATATTTTGCAACAAAATAGTAAAACAATATGTTAGAATTGAAGGAAGAAAATTTAGCAACTTGTATATGGTTAGCAAATTGACAGCACTTAGTTTCAGCCTTCAGTTAGGAGTATGGAGGGAACCTTGTAATGTAGCAACAGTTTCATTAACATCAGAGGCAATAAACATGTTGGAAAAATGTTTCTTGCAATTATCTGTATATCTTTCCATTGAAATCTAAACTAATTAAACTTTCTTAAGGCTCTATCCATAAAATAATGCTTGAACTTTTAGACAGCTATTGAAACAGGCATTTCTTATTTACGACATTCAGTTCTTTAGTGACTTATTTCAGATAAAGTATATAGCTTTCTTTCACCTGCACTAAAAAAAATTTATAAATTGGGGCATATAATGGAATTAACCTTTTGGCATTCAACAAAATTATTCTGCATTACATAAGTTCTTAAAACAGTATTATGCATTAATTTGCAAAATTTTTACTTATTTTAAATCCACAGTCAGAACTTTATAATCAGCATGGGTAGTATTTCATACATTGTAAGACAAAATTTCAAATATAAACACATAGAAGGTAACAAAAAACTTTACAAATACCTTTTGATTAGACATCTTCATGATGTATTTAACAAAATTAAAGTTTCTGTGCAGTATGTTCAAATTCTGGATAAACCATGAGACAATATATAAAATTTGTGCTAATATTTCTTTTAATCAACATTCTCTCAAAGATACATCAAACGTTATGTACAAGTATAGAGATATTAAATATATTAGTTTTACATTTCAACAGAGAATAAAAATTTAGATACCTGTTTGATGAACATCAAAGACTTTATAGATACAGAATAGCATCAAAGAATATTTTAATTTTTATGGTAATAAAATACTCTTTTGTACCACAGAAAGGTACAAAGGTATTCTAAAAAATTTTAAAAGTAGTAAAACAAAATTTATTATTCCTTACTAAAAGTCATGCTCATCACTGTACTTCCATTTCTTGATTGTCTCACTTATACACAAATAAAATGAATCCCGACATGAAATCAGATATTTGAACTAGGCACTTCAAAAGATACGTGTTCACGTTTTCACAAAAATAAGTCCTAATTACACCAGTATATTAGTAAAAGTCTCACACAGCTTTAAAAATTATAAAACATATTTTTTAAACAAAATTTCAAACCAAATAATGATGCACATACGTTTATTTATTTGCATAAACTTAATATCGCCAAAATAAGCATATATATGTGGTAGAAAACTTCTAACATTTTATTAAATTGTAGACAATGTTCATTCTTACATTCAAATAACCAAAGGGAGAGTGGATGGAGAAATGTATCATCAAATTATCAAACAGAAATTATATATTTCAGTAGCTAAAATAAATAGTATAACTGTAAAGGCTTATCAATGAGTCAAACATTACTAGTCCTCTAACTATGATCTATTTGTAAGCTCTGAAGTGGAGACTTTTGATATGTCTTGGTATTATGATACATATTTAATATTTTTACTGCAAAAATCTTTTAATTCTTTACAGAAGTTTAAAATATGAATATTAAAAGTAGAAAAATTTAACAGTAAAAGTTTAATGTTGTCAAGATTTGCACAAATTGTTTTGAAAATATATTCTTTCAACATAAATAAAACACTCATTTTCATGTTATACATTACAGCTGTGTTTCAGTAAAAGATGCAGTTAAATAAGTATGTTCAGTATAACAAAGACTTTTTTTTTTAGCTGAAGGGTGGAAATTCACAGTTTGTTTACATTTCAGAAAGTCTGAAAATCACCAGATATTTTCTGTTACAACTAACGATTATTAAAAAGCACAAATTCTGATTATAATATCTTTTACATGTGAAAAACACTGAACCAGTCAAGAAATTCCCTAAGTTTAAAACAAAAGTTTTTGCAAAATAAATTTTAATTCATCTACAGAATATTTCATAATATTAAAAACACAGGTGCACAGCTATGTTGTATTTCAAGTAGCAATTCTGTGACAGTCAAAATTAGGGGTACATAAACTTTCCTAAAATTACAAATTTAATACAATTAATGGTTCACCATATATGATTTAGATGCCACATATCTATGAAATAAGATATGGTTGTTTCAGCTGCATGCATAGTTAAAAAAAGTCATATTCAACACAATACAGGCATCTCACAAGCTATAAAAATGATCAAAATAAGCAATTTTGAAATTCACAATTACACATAGGACAAAAGCTGGTATAAAAGGACATACTTTATTCCTGGTTTTCAATAATTTAAATTTTATTATGGTAATAAAACACAGGAATTAAAAAAAAATAACAAAAATTGTCAAAATGCCCAAGCAGCCACGTATTTTGCAAGCATATCTATATTTTTATAGGTTCTTGAAGCTGTACATGATTAAAAATAAACAAAAATATGACAAGTATAAGCAAGAACCTTATAAACATCAATAAATCATATGTAAAATTATATATACATATATATATAAGTGTATGTGCGTTTATATATATATGTATTATGATACTACAATTATGAGATCATTAGAGAGAAAAGCTCATGTAAATGAGATAGGAACATAGACAGAAACAGCAAAAGGTATTTATTATTCACCAACACTGCTGTGTTTTTGCTGCATATATGGCCTTTTTGTACATAAGCAGCTGTACATCGATAATTCACCAATTTGATCCTTACCGTTCAGTTATAAAAATATGCAGCTTTGAAAACTGTTAAAGCAATCAAAACATAGCATTTCTAAAATTTGTATGAAACAGGTTGAATTATATTTACAGATCTTTAGAATTCAGAATTCCACTTTTCTTTCTAGTAAAAAAAAAACACAGCTCAACATTTTCTCTACTGTAAAATAACTGTAAGGAAACAGCTGGGCTATTTTCCTTGAAGCTGTAAATTTTGTCTAAATAAGCTGTATAATAAATATGTAAAACCTTCGACAATAATTTGACTTCAATACAAGGAATTTCACAGTTAAAATTTGAATTGAAAATATTGAAATTGTGGAATTTAAAAACGCACATGAATATGGATTAATTTAATTTAAATGCTGCCTGCAGCATATTAAAGATGTGCACATTATGAAAATAATGAATATATTCTCTCCCCTGAAAAATATCAAGCAAAATGCAAAAGCTGTAACTTCTTGGCTATATTATGCTTCATAAAACAAAACAATCTGCATTGCTTATAAATACATACAATTTTAGTAATGAAGTTAAAGAAATAAATACTACAAATCATATACATATCAAAACTCTCAATAATACATGTTTTCGACATTTAATGAAACAAATTAATATATAAGTGAAATAAATATTCCACTATAAACACATTTTACACTTAATTATAAATGAACTTTACAGCATGAAACAGGAAGAAAAAATAATTACCTGAATGGTGTAAAACAAAATAAGCTGCTGGAATTTATTTAAAAATAATACAAACATAAGAGGCAGCACCATATTTTTATTATAGAAACTTTCATATTGTTATATATAAATGCTTTCTCACTTGAGAAATATTAAAGAACTTGTCTAATGACAATGCGAATAAAAAAGTTATTTCCAATTCCAAAAAGAAACAACCATTGTGATGTTTTCTAATTGAAAGAGGAAACAGAAAATAAAACTCAATCTTAGCAAAATATATACATTAAAAATAAGTATTTAAAATGTGGATATAAATATTGCCTGAAGCAAGTAATTAACTGAAATATTGGACAGTCAAACTGCATTTTTATGTTGCAACATCTCCACAAGTTACTCTAAAGCAAGTATTACATGGGGAGGGAAAAAGATGAAACACTTTTTAATCAATATAAACAATACAGAGACAAAACCAAACATGACTAGCAGGTCAAAAAAATAATTTTTGGGATCTGTTGAGTATTTAGTCGATTAATTTATTACAAGCACCGTAAATGTTTGATTAGCAGCCCACACTAAAATTTTATAAATTTATACGTACTTCTATGTAACAGCACTTCAACTTCAGTTTAAATTATGTTGACCCATGTCTTGCACCAGAATTTCACCATTTAAATTAAATTAATTTGTAAATAAAACAAAGTTTTCACATGCATTTCTGAGATATCTGTTTCACATCAAATATTTCTTCATATTCTATCACTCAATACCAGATGAAAAAAAAAATATTAGGCAAAGATAATTAATTGGCATAAAAATTATTAGCAATATTATAATGATACAACTAGTAATAATAAAAACAGTAGAAAGATTGATAGCTACATAAATTCCAGAAATACATTTTTATAACAAAGTTTATCGTTTCTTTTCATTTTTGTTTCACATCACTTGATTGTGATACATGCCTAAACTATGCTAACAAGTGTGTTTAGCTACATTATTTTCTCGTTTAATACATTTTTTGTACAGATCAAAATCATTTCAAAATTCTTATGTGACCATAGTTGTCGAAAAGGTAGCTATGTAATTCAACATTTAATCAGACATTTACGGTGTAAATGTGTATAAAATTCATAATTTTAATTTGATTATCTGTTATAGATACAACACAATTCCAGAACATAACTGCTTTCTCTTATAAAAAACTAGCATTATACGTTCTCAATCCTTTTATTTTTGGCATAGTATGCATTATTGGTGCCAAAGTATTTCAGAGAAACTGATATTTTTGTTCATTTCTATCATCTTGCTGAACACACACACAAATTTAAAAAAAAAAAAACTCAAGAGCAATAGTGTGCAATAGGTGAATGTTTAGATAACGTCATGTATACAAATAAAATCTTAGCCTCAAAACTGAGGCATGCCAAAAGAAATCACAGAATATGGTGAAAAGGGAGAAAGCAACAATAATTTCTGTTAAATATTCTTTCTTTGCATTATTTAATACTCACAATATTATTTTTGAATTATTTAAATCAAATTGCTGATAATCACAACATTTAACATTTTATAAAAATATTGAAACTCTAAATATTAACCACACATATGAATCAGAAGAAAAAGGAAGAATCATAAATCTAAAACAGAGAGCTTAAACTGTCCGTCGACTCTGCATGGTTGATCTTAAGAGGAGAGACCCATCTACCCATGTATTTGGCCGTTCTAACATAGTGTACCACAAGGACCGCTCTTCTCCAACTGAATCCATCCAATCAACATCCCTGCCTTGATATTTTCCTAAAATTCACATTTACTGAAATTTTTATACAGTCTAAAAATTTACAGAAGTTTGAAAAGATTAAAATACATAGTATACAGAATAAAAATATTATATTCAGGAAAAATATTAATCAACAAATTGATCATTATGCATTTAGTAAATTTAGTGCAATAATTTTTTCATTGGATCTTATCTGTGCCAAAATCATTCAGTATATTGATAACTGAATTGATTGTAAATGGTTTGCATTCAATGGTACACTCATACAATACATAATTAGAAAACTGGCACATTGAAAATAAATTGTTTGCACAACATGAACGAGTGCAGTTATCTTTCTCTTTCTTCAACAAATCCGAGTTCCCAGTGGTTTGGACTACTTTTTAAATACCAATTTTCTTTCCTTTTCTGCTTGACCGATCATTTAGGAACCAACAAAACAACATTTTCAAATATTAGAAAACTTTAATATAATACTGCATCACAAAATATCATTACAGTAAAACAAAATAGAAAATGGAAATATGGTTTTTACAAACTGAAAACATGTTTAAACATTACTAAGATTGCAGATTTCAGGAATCCGAATGAATGACTTGATGAAGCTCATCTTCCATTTATTGCTGTTTCATGCAGGGTTGCTGTATTTTTTAGGACTGATGCCCAGGTCTATTCATGTTAAAAAAAAAAAAAAGTCTACTGCAGCATAAATTTGCATCAATTTCTATAGCTTCTCTAATTTTCAGGCTGCCTTTTGTGGCAGAATTTATTAATGATTTTAGCTTAGTCACATTTAGTTACTGAGTATCGATATTTTAAGGATTATTTTATCACAGATGTGCCATTTTCATTGATGTATTCCTTAACAAAATTTACAAATTGACATGTTATTGGATACTGAACTAATATACTGAATTTCAGTATTTGTATACTGTGGAAGGGGGATGTGTGTGTATGTGTATATATATTACAAGGATGAAATGAAAAATTATCATATGGGATTATCATTTGAGTTGCCAGGTGCCTCTAATACTTAATATAAGAGATCACACTATATGTACATCACTCAGAATTAGAACATATGTAATGGAAGGTGATTATTTGAATATTCGAGAGTGCTAAAATGCTATCTGCCTATAAGGACAATGCTTTGTGGAATACTTTCTCAAAGAAATTGGCTCATATTCACTAATGTAATGGATGAAACTGATACAAGATAACTATGATAAAAAAATTCCTTTGTTACCCTATCAAATGCATACTATATGACACTGTGCAAGCCTTAAATTTTTACCAACAGGAAAGAAATATATATGCCCTGACCTACCTATGAGTTAATTAAATATGGATGCTAAAATACTCCAAAAAATTTTTATACATTAAAACACTGATTTAAGTTAATGATTGCTTGCATTATACTTAATTTCTTTTAATTAAAAGTAAATTATTATCGCTCTTTTGTACTTCTTTTGTCTTGTTAATTAAAAACAAAGATAATTTATCATTTATTCTTAATTTTTACATTAAGAAAAAATACATACTATTTACTTGGTATTACTTTAAGGTATGGAAATTACACCTTTTTTTTTTTTTTTTTTTTCTTTCCTGCAGAATAACTTTACATGCCCCCCCCCAATAAAATACCTATAGAAATTCTGTGGTGTCATTTTTTAGGCAGTCTTCACATTCAGATGAAGGAATCATCAAATTAATTGGATATTGAGGATATATTCATGGATCATTTGGCAGAGCTATTGTTACACTATTTGATGTCGCATTACAGCTAAAATTAAGATAATGAAATGAAAAAATATACGGCTTATGAATAATGAAATTTAAACAACCTACAGCATAACAATTAACTGAGCAGCCACAAATCAAAGCACACCTCTTCAGGAAACTAATAAGTAGCTTTAGAAATTTTTCCAACTTGATGATACAATTCTACTATATAATCACTTTTTTTTTTTTAATCATGCTAGGTTTTGTTGATGAATCTTATTTTTTTTCCCCCACATAGAATTTCAGAAAGCTTAAGGAATGGTGTTTAGCAGGTTAGTGAAACCTTTTTAGCTTCTGTATAAATGAATTAATCACCAATTTTCAGTCATAAGTAGTAGTTTTATCATTCTAACATTTTAGATTAAAAAATTTGTACATTAGAATCTCTAGTTTACATGCCATTAACACTTCTTATAGTACACTCAAATAACAGAAAAACAGTCACAACACAGCTACAAACTTATGTTATGTTTGTTCTCAAGTGAATCCATTTATTAACTTCATAAAGTATAAAATTATTTCCATTATAAGCAACAGCTTGAACATCATATTTTTCATTTTATCAAAGTTTTGTACCCTAGTCTGAAATAAGTCTTCCATGACCTTATCCATTCAGTTTTACACCTTGTAGGTCTGCTTTTCAAAGATGGGAGTAAATAACAGTGTATTCTTCAATAGACTGGAGAAAATGGTGTCCTTATAATTCACTTTTAGCCATCTGGTTGAAGCTGAAAAACATTAGCAGTCAGTCTCCCATGTGTTCTAACTCTCAGTAGCTGAAATTTTCATTATTTTTGTCATATGCAATGCAAATACAGGCATATTTCGCTCAGAAAAACTTCCCTGAAAGCAAGTGTCTTTAAAAGTGTGCCATTTAAATAATATAACATAATCCAATGTTGTTAATTCTAATCCTAAGTGATACCGAACCCAAATTTGGAAAATGAAGTTTCTATGCTAAAGTTCTCGCACATTTCTTTCCCTCCCACTGGATATTTTTCTAACCTATTAAGTTTTTGCATGCAAGTATAAAATAAGTTACACTGATAGCTGTCTTGTTATCTTTCCTGCAATGTGCTCTTCTCACAGATATGAGTGATTTTGTTTCAACTAACCACAGCACATACTGTTTGTTCTCTTTTCCATGAATACCAATTTGAAGCAAGGAAGCAGCTACACCACCTAGTGATCTGCACCACCTGTTACAAACACTGCTTTCTCCCCTTTAGTTTTTCTTTTATACAGTTTCTTTATATGCTTTTTCTTTTATATATACCTTGCATCTAAACTGCTTGTTGCATTAGTGTAATAATAACATTCTCTGGCACACTGTATATATGACCAATAGGACAGCAGTTGTCCATTAATTTCATCCAACGAATGAAATTCTGCACCTACATTTGTCTGTTGAATTCAACTAATGCAGAAAACTTAGTACAGATTTGTGTGCATCCAGAAAATTAGCCACCGAGGAATCTAAAAGATAACCCGAGTCACTGAAAATGAAAACAAAAATCATATGGACTGAGTGTTCTGACAAATCACACTATTAAAATGCCTACATCCTCTGATACAGAAGCATTCCATTTTCGTGTATTACAGAACAGACATAATGAATAATGTTAGGCAAATAAAAGTTCTCACTGGCTAATGGAAAATAGAATGAAATGACCCAAAATAGGACTACATTGGGGGCAAAGATTTTGAATGAATTACTTGTACCACAATCATTTAAGTTCGGAACAACAAGACTTGCCCATGTACTACTCCAAATAGCAGGCAGGGGTCATCGAGCTAGGCTCAATGCACGAGCGGAGAGTCAAAGGACTAGTCAACAGCCTATTCGGAGAGCCGAAGTCACCTGCCATCCAAGACAGTATAAACTGTCCCTTTCAGCATCAGGAACCAGATTGACGCTTTTATCTCCCGGTGCCGAGACTGCCAAGGTACAGATCCAAGCCAGTATAATACATGACTGCCCAGGAATGGGGGAGAAAGAAATACATATTAACTTTTTTCCAATATTATGTGATGGAATTACACTCATTTTGCAAACCTTTCTGAAATTTGAATTATATGGCATCCCATAAAAAGAACTACAAGTCCAGAATTGTTTTGCTATATACATTTCTAGTATATAAATTAGGATTATACATAATAAAAAAACCACCTAACTCTCGAGATCTATATAGCTTCTATGATTATATCTCACAATAGCATCTAGAATTAAATGTTTATGTCAACATACATTAAACTTTCCTACTCAGGACATTTCAAGGACAAATACCAAAGAAAACGTACTGCATTTCGAACATTCAGAGATCACATATCGTTTGAGAATGAAAGTATGAATAATCAGTTAGAATACCTGAAACAGCCTGTATTTTAGTGGCATTTGACACCTAAGCATGACATAAGCCATCTGCTATGTTTAATAAAATAATACAAATAAAGGAAATCACATATACCATGTAGTTAGTTTGCATAACTACAAAAGCATATACTATTATTGCAGAAAGTCTCTGGAATATATTATACTTTCCCTACCCATGACATTCTTTAATGCATAGTATTTTTATAAATTTATTTATGTACAATGATTTTAAACAATACAATTATATTTCTGTACTTTCAGGATGAAAGCAAAAAATGAATTTACAGCTGAGTTGATATTCATCATTTGGGTACCAAATAAATATTCCCAAAGGTCTGATTTTATTTTGTACTGCATGCTTCAATCCACTGCTATGAAAATTTAAAATGGAGATTTTATTTAAAAAAATTATACATTTCCACATAGCATATGCAAAAATACTAAGACATTCTTTTAAGCTGCAATAATTGATTACATATTGGCCAAAAAATGCAAGGAAAAAATATGCAAATTGATCAATAGTTTTATATTTTTCAAACCAGAGAGTTTTTTCCCAATGCCATCTTGTCTCACCTCCAGTTGTGTGTTTTAAACACATATAATAACCATTCCATAAGACGCTCCTTTTAGTAGGTAAAATACAGTAAGGGAAATGGTCCCAGTTTTGGGCTGAAAGTAGTCCTTAGTCTTTCTTTTCAGCATACCAGTACTTACATGTTTAAATTTACAAAACACTGATTCAAATCTCTGGATGAGTTAGACATGCCTTCCTGCATTCTGGCACAAGAGATGCATAACAAGTCTATCTAGTCAGATGTACCCAATGGGTTAATCACATTTCAATAATATTTACTATGATTACTATTAATTAACGAATGTCAAATGTACTTTAAGCAGCTAGCACTTAACAAATTAAGACTAGATACTAAAGACATTACAATATACTGTTTTACAATATATTTTTAGCATTTTACTTTCTTTTTCCTCAGCAATAACAAATATGTTGTAAACAGAGAAAGTAATACCTGTTCCAAGACACAATCTCACACCACCAAGAAAATCATTGCTTGTAATTTTATCATAATCCCAAATTGTTAGTTCCAAGCAGCGTTCTCGTAAATCATCAAGAGATACTTCATCATATATGAATGTGTGATTCCATTTTGGATTGCAAGATTTTTTGAAAACTGGAGTTTTTTGTTTACCAGCCTTACTTTTGTCAGGCAACAAGTAGCTAAAATATAGAAAAAAAATTCTATTAAAACATACATATTTTCAAAACAGTTAACACTTTTCAACTCATTCATACAAATATATATAAGGGCAATGTGAAATTTTCTTATTGTAAGACTATCTAAATTATTATTTACTTATCACAAATTAATATACTCACACACATTACAAGCACAAAGTACGAAATTTGGATGGCCAACAACATTCGGAATGTTTTAATATACAGACAAACATTTTTTTCCCTTGCAAAGTCTAGGAATAAAGAATGTAATACTCAAGAAAATGCATGTGTGTTGCACAAGCACCTTTTCTCTCAGCTAATTGACATTCCTGCATCTTGCTTTCAAACACCTGCTGACAAAGGAAACTGCACTTGATGCCAATGATGATACACTGTCTGATGTTGTACTGGCTTTGGCTACAACCAAACTTTTGCCCCTTGAGTAATTGTGGCTGAGTTAGCATATTTCTGATTTAAATAATAAGCCCCAAGGCATATATGTTTGATGTGGGATGTGACTCGTAGTGATTTCCTTTTACTGGCATAGTAGCAGCAGAGGAAGAACATTTCCAAAGAACTCAAGTTCGGTTGACATAACAAATTGCACTTTTCCTTACCTTTCTTGCTTGACCCAGATTATTATTTTTCACAGCCTATTATTATTACAGCTTTCTTGCCAAAATTAAGTTTGAATTTGTCAAAAAGTTTCTAATTCTAGAACTACAGAAGAATGGATAAAAGCATATCCATCTCAAAACTTATGTAACAATGACAGCCACGGAATTAAACAAGATATGACAGCAAGGAAAAAAAAAATTGTTTGAAGATTCTGACACCCCACTCATAATGGAAAGCAGAAAAATCATTCATTATATTAAAAATGGCAATCATGACAAAGTGCTGAAAATGGGTGAGACCACATCACAATGAGGGCATGCCATTGGCAGGCCCAATACTAATGGCTTAAGTTTACATATTTTATGGGGATACAGACTTAAAAAACTTGAGTGTGCATATTAAATAGGTTGGTTAAGGAAATTAAAAATCATCACAACAGTGAAAGATTTCAGCAACAATGTTTCAGCTGATACAGAACTTGGTCAATTTGAGGATGAATTCCTCAGGTTCATTAATTGAAAAATGTTATTTCTAAAAGATATCTATAATGCTGATGAAACTGCTCTTTTGAGGCAATATGCATCCTAAAATACCTAAGCAGCCTCTGCAGAAAAGGGCCTAACTACTGTCAAAAATTGAAAGCAGGACTAAGATTTTGAGATGTAGAAATACTACAGGAGTGCGCCAGGGCAAACTTTTCATAATCAGAAAAATTACACAATGTTGGTCATTTGAAGGAGCAAAGATTTTCCCTGGCATCTATTATTCAAATAAAGGAGCAAGTATGACTCAAATATAAATTAATGATTGGCTTGAAAACTCATTTCACACCTGAGGCTCCACAACATTTCAAATCAGTTATTTTACCAGATAATAAGAAAAATGTCCTCCTTATAGATAACTCATATTTCATTTAAAGTTTAACAAATGATCATGTCTTCATCTTATTGTTTCCTTTAAATTTACATCCATCATTCAGCCAGTGGATTTCAAGAGTGCTGTGCATGCTAAATACAAACATAACATAAAGTAGCGCTATGGCGTATAACACTTACATGGGAGGTGTTGATATGATGGACAAACAAACACGATTTGGGCATTCCCTGCTCCGTGCACTTGCACACTACAGGTCCACTCCCCCTTTGGGCACTTTGTGGAGGTTCAACCTCCACTATTACCCTTCCAGGGGAGCAGCACACCACCTGGATAGGACACCAGGCAGCACTGGTCATAAATTGCTCCTGCCAGTCCCATGGGAGACCCCCATCGCAGAGGGCGTACAGATCCTCGGTACAGATCCTAGCCAGTAGTTTCAGAGAATTCTCTACGTCGATCCACGGGGGGGGGGGGGGAATATGATGGACAGACTATTCTCATATTGCCAGATATCCATACGAACCCAAAAAAATGGACAATGTGTGTCTTTGCCCTTTTTTTGAATATGGCAACTTGCAATGCCTGGATTATGTATATTCGTCATTGTAAACAATGTGAAATTCCTCCAAAAAAATAGACTTCAAGCTTGTAACAGCTGAGAGCTTAATAAAAGTAGAAGTTTCTGAAGAAACGATACAGGGAAGACCTCAACATATCAAAAGTCAACAAATTGTTCCTTTGCCCGTGAAGGATGTACGGTATGACCAAATTGGCCACTTTCCTGAAGATGTAAAAAGAGGAAATCAAATGAAATGTCGCCTCCCAGGATGACCAAGTAAATCAAAGGATGTCCAGGAGTAAGATGTATTAGATGTGATATGTAGCTTACAAAACAGGAATTGATTCTTTGAATTTCATGTCAAAGAACAGTTCAAAAAAACTATATACATTGATGTAACTCTTTACATCATTATAATGACATTATATGCATGTAGTTCGAAGATACCCATTTGGGTACCACTTAATTAACATAAATAAAATTTTCAAAATGTACTTTTTGTGTTTTTTTCTTTTTAATAGTTCCATTTTAAGTACACATGCAAAAAATCAGATAAAAATATCGAGGAATTACTTCTCAGGTCTCAAGAGGTTAATGAGTTTTTCTTTTCACCCTGCATATAGCTAGACAGATACCAATAAGACTAAAAGACACTAAACATCAGTAAGTATGACATGTGGCAATGTAAGATTAATCTTAACTAAAATTGTAGAATTCAACCAAGTAAACATAAGTACAATATATACCTCTAAGCAGCAGAGATAAAAAAAAAAAAAAAAAAAAAAAAAAAAGCAACCCTACGCAAATAAAAGAAAATCATAGAATAGATAAGAATACAGATAATTGCAAGATTAAGATCAGACCTTTAAGTAAGAAGACTAGAGGCAAATGGCAAGCTAAAATTTTACTTAGCTACTCTCCTGTTCAACTTACTTACACATTGTTGCATACATACTCTCCACTGCTAGAAACAATGTATATTTTCATGTGTCAGCTCCTTCATTAGTTTCACCAAATTCTTTATCTCATCCATATTTTGAAAGCAGGTTATGATCAATACATATTTATCTTAGTAAACAGGTAAAAATCACACATTATCATATCTATTGGTCAATGATGAGAGTGCTCCAGAAGTTGGATCTTATTTTCAAGAAAATGCTTATCAAAAGAGCAGTGCAAGTTGGAGCACTATCTTTCATGGAAAAATAAATCGATTATTCTTCCACAACTTGCACCTCCGCTTCCTTACTCATTCTCTAAATGGTTTAGAACATAATAAATACTGTATGATACAACTGTATCTATTCAACCATGAAAATTATTATTGCTGCATTCGTTTTCAATTTGCTTATTCATTCCTTTTTATGACAGGTGACAGAGTCTCCATTCACTGATTGAATCTTAGTTTCAAAGGATACTGGAAAGTCAACATCTTGTTACATGTGATAATCTCTTCCAGCCAGTCAGTTTCCATGACAAAGTTGTTCGATGATATCAGTGCAAATGTACTCTCAATTTTTTTAAAAATACTTAAGTGGCTGGAACCATTTTATTGCAGACGGAGAAAACTCAATTGACTATAACAAATTTACTGCAGCTTCATTAGCAATATGCATCTTACAGGTTATCTAAATAATTAATTGAAAATTAAAGCAAAAAATTTCATTAATTTAAATAACCTTCAGATTTTGAAATCGCAGTGTGATATGGACTTTGTTGCTTTAGAGAATCTCTCATCGCTCAGTAAATTCTCTGTGACACTTGTGCACGTGTAATCATATTTATCATCCCAAACCTCATCCAGCAACAGTCTCATTAACCTACTCAGACTTTTCAGTTTCACATGTAATTTGAGACATTATTTTAGTAAAATAGTGTTAGCTAAACACCTGCCCTTTTAGCTGCTGCTCATAGTATGACCATAAGTAGCAGCAGCAATTGGCTTTCAGACTCTCTCTTGGTAGCTTTAAAGAATTCATCATGCTTGCATTATTTATAGCTATATGATAAATACACTTACCAAGGTGCAGGTGCACTATACATATACCCAGTGCAATTTCTCTAAAACATATGATTTTAGACTTTTGTGAAGAGGACTGTTTTTGAGAATATTACTTCATCATTTTGTTTTTCTACGTGTTGGTCATTTTCAGTTGGTTGTCATGAAAAGTTTCACTATACATATATGCACAAAAAAAAGACAACAAAATAATGCATATGTGACATAGTGTACTTTATAGCACCATAATATATTGAAATATTCAGCCTTGTCAACAAAATATAGTACTCCACTTCTCAAGGTCCAAATCACTATTATTTTTAAACACAACTATATGTCATTCCTTTAGATTGCAAAATGTGAATGAAACCACTGATGACTCTTTTGTTTGCTCTTTTTTACCACATATGGCTAACAGCATTCTTTTTATAGATGATAAATAAGCAACAAGAATATATTAAATCAAATAAACTATACACACTTTAAAAAAAAAAAAAAGACTTTTGGAAAATTTCATAGTTTCATACAATCCAAGCAACAGTGATTCATGTAGTTAAAACAATTCAGTAATGGTGTTGGTGTATTTAATTATGGCAAAGCACACGAGGGCTATCTGCCTAGGGGGAGGGATGCCTTTCGTGGAGGACTTTCTAAGGGAAACTGGCTCGTATACACTTGACACATGGGGAAAACCACGAAAACGCCCATGCAGCCAGCCCGTTCGCGGGATTCGAACCTCGGACCGAACTACCAGTGTTTAGCAACTTTACCGCTTGGCCGCTGGTGGGCTCAATTCAGTAATGATTCATTATTCTATTTTAAATTACTCATACAATACCATTAGCTGAATAATTATTCAAGTACATTAAGGAAAGCAAAGAAATATCAATTTTATGTATTTTATTTATTCATCTATCAATAAAAAATAACTTCAAATCAAATTCATTTCTATTACTTGCAGCTGCAACATCAAAACATTTATTTTGCAAAGCAATTTCCTTGGCTACAGCTTTATATTTATGTTTATTATCAGTCAGCATATTCTTGGACAAGTAGTTATGATCTTAGCATATATTATCCAAATAATTAGTTAATTCTATTATCAATTTGGAGACTGGAGAAAAATTTTATAGATAAAAGCAAACACACCAATCACAACGTCACTAAAAATGAAGCAAAAAAGTATTTTACATGGGTAACATAGTTCAACTCTTACAACTTAAATCTGTTTACAAACTCCATTTCAAGAACTACACAGAAACAGGTTTAAAATTTTTTGTCAACTTTAATTTCTTCACGTTTGGGTAAGTTACTTAATATGAAAAAGTACTTAATAGCTGTCTGCCTTAGAAGGAATGCATTTACATAAGTTTTAATATAGACGGCTGCCTTCTATTTATATTACATATACAAGATGTCTTTCAAGACTGCACATAGTTTTTGAGAAATAGGTATAAAACATTTAATGTTATATCTAGTAGTATGAAAATATGCTTTATTGTAAACATGAATATCATACATGCATATAACACTACACTTGCACAAGATGCTAAAAGTTTGCCTTAATATACTGATCACACATATTAAGGCAAGTTCACACATGCTGAAGAATTGCTCACTAACCAGCATCCAGGTTACAATGCCCACAAAAGTGAATGTAGCAAAAGATGAAAAGTTTAACTCTTTCAATTTGGTTCAGTTTCGTTGATTACGACAAAGAACTCTAAAGCTACCTGTTTAAGGAAAGGGGTGCCTTCTTGGAGGATACTGTAAGAAGAACTGGCTCATATACACATTACACATGGGGAAAACCATGAAAATGTTTATGGAGCCAGCCCATTCGCCTAAATCGAGCCCAGAGTGAACTACTGGTGTTCAGTGATTTTATTATTTGGCCACTGACAAGCCTTTAATTCCTTCAGATAGCCTTCCATAAAATTCCTTCAGGTATCAGAAAGAAATCCAAAGGTCCAGGTCCAAGATCATGATGACCATTCATATTGGGCTGAATAACCAATCCAAAGACCAGAGTATTCTTTATACAAGTAATCACGTACAAGAGAGATGGAATGTTACAGAAATTTTGAAACCAGAGGACACAAAACCTCTGGTTTCAGCCATCAGTGACCAAGATTATGTAATTGATGAAATCAGTTAGTACTCTGTAGAACTATACACATACTTAAGCTAAACATAAACTGATTTTCAGAATACTCTACAATTTGCTGTCACTAAAGTAGGCAACCCAGAAATTTACGAAAATTATCGTTATCATTTATTATCTGCCAACCCATGGATGGTTATGTGCACACTGCAGTAGCACGCAATTGGGCTTTTAAAATTTGATTATCATATTTGTGACTGCTGCTTATAAAATGTTCTTAGGTGATTATGATAATTGCTCTTTTCCAAATTTGTGCAAATGCAATCCCCTGATATTTCTTCAAGTTGAAACATGTCAATGTGTACACAGAAGTTCTCAATTGTTCTTAGGCAGTTATGATAATAGCTTTTCCTGAATTTGTGTCAGCGGCTGAGTGATATGAGGTTTTCCCTGCATGTAACATGTATACGAGCAAGTTCCCCTTACAAAGTCCTCCCTGAAGGCATCCCTTCCCTTAGGAAGATAGCCCCCAAGTGCTTTGCCATAATCAAGTAAACCAAAAAACAAACCAAAACCAAATATGTGTCACAGTTCGATTTAACTGTTAAAATTTGAAAAAGGTTGAAGTATACACAGGAAAGCAGGAGAAACAAGGTAATGGTAATTTAAAATGTTTCTTGCATTTTTAATTTAGTTAATTTCTTTCTGTTTTAGGTAATTTTCAGTGAGTCATTATGAATGTTCCCCTTACAAAGTCCTCCCTGAAGGCATCCCTTCCCTTAGGAAGATAGCCCCCAAGTGCTTTGCCATAATCAAGTAAACCAAAAAACAAACCAAAACCAAATATGTGTCACAGTTCGATTTAACTGTTAAAATTTGAAAAAGGTTGAAGTATACACAGGAAAGCAGGAGAAACAAGGTAATGGTAATTTAAAATGTTTCTTGCATTTTTAATTTAGTTAATTTCTTTCTGTTTTAGGTAATTTTCAGTGAGTCATTATGAATGTTTCTTGACTTTTGATTTTCATTAATTTTTTGCTGTTTTATGTAATTTTAGTACACTGCTAGTTTATAAAATGGCTACTGTTTTTCACATTTATGGTTGGTGAAAAATTACTTGCCAAGCATTCTCAACTTTATGGAAGGTTTAAGTGGATAATCCAAGAGTAGTGATGTTTCTTTTTCAAAATTTTTCTCAAAAACTCTGGATCACAGAGGTATGGTTCTTTAGTTATTATTTTTTTTTATGTATGCTAAGTGATAAATCCTGCCCTGCAGAGTTCATATGGTCTTAATGAGATACCCTGTATATGTAGAAAGCCATAAAAATTTTAACTAGCCAGCCAGTTCAGTTGCCAAAAGCTGAAGCATGAACAACTTTTAGAACAAGAAAACTTTCTTATCTATTTAGTTGTTGGTAAACCAAACATAACAGGTTTGGCATAAATGAAAATTTGTTCTTTAGTATAAACACGTGGATATTTTTGGAGCAAAGGGGGACGGTACACAGATTAATGGCTAAAAAATTAATATATTTAAGTTAAAAAGCACATGCCACTTAAAGCAACTAACACTTATCCCATCCCCCCTGCTGTTACTTCAATGCAATTAACATTATTATACTAGTTCTTGATACATGTAAAATAAAGGTGATTTAAAAGGTCTTTCATAATCCTAGTAGCTAATCACACTACATAGTGACATTATCTTACACATTGACTGCTTTAAGTAATTTAAAAATCCATTGCATAACATAATAAATGTACAAAATGGAACAGCAAACAAAAGTCAAAATTTCAAACATATATAAAGTGAAATCACATGCTTGTATCCATTCTGAACACAAACTAATGAAAAATTCCAAAACTATAAAGTAGGTAACTAGAAAAACACACCTCTTACAAAATGGATCAGATGTCCCATTAGAACGAGTTGCCATTAAGTTTCTTGCTTCTCTTACAAGAACTTCTAATGCACCTTTTGCTGGAACCCCAGGTTTTTTAGAGAATTTTCGACTAGTTACATCTGGAGGAACATACTTTAAGGCCAATATTAAGTCCCCTTTATAGCTGACAGGCGTATCTAAAGTTTCCACCTATTTAAACAAACACATCATTTGAAGCAAACAAACGAAACAAAAACTGAAAATTGAGAAAATATATATACATCAAAATATAATCGAAAATACAGCATTAATGCATTGTCAGATTATTAACATGTGACATCTAACACATGTAAGCATGTTTATTTTTATAACAGAAGATAAATCAAAGTACAGTCTTTTCTTATAAATTCCTTATTTTATTTATATCTCAATTTTTACAGATAATACAGTAAAAGTTCCACTATTCAGGGAGTTCAGGAAATGCAGAATAAAGGTTGAATGTAAAAAAAAAAAAAAAAAAAAAGTCAAATGATTTTGAAAAATTTCCTCTCTAAAATTATAGAAACAATTATATTTATTGTATTTATTACCAACTTCAATATCAAAAGCTTACTTTTAAAGTAATACATGATTTTGAGAATAGAAACATATTTCAGACATAAAAATTGACAAAGGACACAGGCATAAAAATGAAATATCAGATCTGATTATAAAATCCTACCGAATATTAAATTTTCAGAGATGCCATCTGTCATTCTGGCAGAGCTTCATTTGAACAGATATAGCATATAAAACATTAAATTGCTTATCACAATATTTCATGCTACCTTTTTTTATCCATTTTCAAAGTTGCAAACTGTGGCTTTTTTTTTTAATGCTGTACCCCGTAACTTTGAAAATACTCCACTTTCCGCTATTCTATTAATCATTTTTTAAAAATGCAAGACAAAATAAAATTTATATCCTCCCTTACTAAAATTAAACGGTCTTATTGAGAATTAATCTGGTTTATGTTAAACCACAATGAACTTTTTTGTTTGTCTGTGGTATCATGCTTACCCATTAATGGTGCTAAATCACACTGTTTAGCAATCAGGTATATATGTTTACAGTATTATGAGATATAATGGTGTTACAAATCTCTCATTTACAAAATTTTTCTAAAATTCTAAAATATTCCAGCTACTTGAGCATTCCAGTTAGTTTAATACCAGATAGTTAGCTTTTTACTGTATACTAGCACATTAAGCACATGTGAAAATATAATGGCAAATAACAAAGTATTATTTTTATTAAATTTACTATTTGTTACAGTAAAAGTTTTCATTATTTCTAATAAATCAGTGTAAAATAGTAACTTTTCTATAAAGATTCATACTTATTTTCCCTCGCAAAATGAGGTTTATTTTTCTCGCTCAGTGATAGTGTCATTTAAGAATGTAGAGAGGAAAAAAAATGCCATCTATTGCCACAGCAACTGAGAGATATTGCACATATTTAGGACGACAGAACTGCTTAAACTCCCAACCGCCTAAGGGTTGAGATCTGTGACAGAATGCTGTAAATATATAGGCAACATGAAAATGTCAATTCTAGGATAACATGGTTGGATCTGATGAAATGAATGGAAGCATTCACACTTGATCAGTGTGATACTAGTTTCTGTTCACACCTTTTTAAGTATCAGTTGAAAAGCATACAAGTTGAAGAAAACAGCTTATTTTCTAAGCTTATTATGGTGAGACACAGTGCAACTTAAGGCAAGAAAGTCGAATCATCTCAATAAAAATTCTAAACACATTAGAAAGTTATTACCCCAGAAATTTAAACTGATCCCAGAAAGCAATCTGACAGCAGTTGAAAAGATTTAAATCTTTGAAATAAAAATTATATTTGGAAAAATAGCTCTTGGGGTCATACATGTAAATAACTGAAGAGTTAATGAGCAAAGTCAGGAATTAAAAAATAATTTTTTTAGCTCAAATTTCCTTAACGTCAGCCTTAAAATTATTTAAACTCTTTGAAAATTACAAGAATGCTGAAACAGTGACTTCAAAATCTTTCAATTATCTGTTATAGTAACAAAAATTCTACTCTATAGTTTCTGAACAAATTCTACTGTAACATGAGAAAATGACTTGAGCTTATGGTGAATCCAGGCTATTCTGAAACTGATAGAAGAATGGAATAGTATGGCAAGAAGATTGTTATGGTTATTTCTAATAGCAAAATATCTTTTATGATAGGATGAAGAAAAAAGTTTTAAAAGCTTTGTCAAGGACTGTACTAGGAAATCATCGGTCAATGACAACTGATTTAAAATAATTTAAACGATGAAAAAGAAAGGATTTTGAAAAACAAACTTTGTGAGTCCAATATACCTAAAAATAAACAAGCTTAGTAGGGGGACATAATATTGCATGGGAGGCAAGCAGAGAAATCTTTACAGTAAATTGCAATACTGAAATTATAAATTAAAATGTCAAGGAAACGAAATTCAGTTTTAAAGGAGAACTGGATGGCTGGATCAATTGAATTCATAAAAGATAAAAATCTTTGCTTAAACTTCTGTGTTACTATCAAAATGCATAAAAGTATCATCAACATAGAAAATCCAGAGCCAAACAAAACATTTTGTATTAAATTGACCTCAAAATAGTTCCTGTAAATGTCAGCAAATAGCGGACAGAGAAGATTATCCACTTCTAATCTTTCAGTTCGGTGGCATTAATTTTGGAAAATGAAGGCAATCAGACTAAGAGAAATCTCAGAGAAATTATGTATCATTTTTCAGTATACGTGAACTGGAATTCTTTAAGTCTGGTTTAAATATATTTTAATGCTCCCCTTAATTAGAATGTTAACAAACAGTGATTTAACATCAAAAGAAACCATAACTGAGCACAGTAAAGAAAAATCCATACATTTATCAAAAATTTTAAAAGTATTTTTATTATCATTTATATGTTAGAACGCAATTGGGAAAGTCTACAAACTTAATATTTGGTTAAAGTGGATGATGCTGTTTCTGAGTTAGAGCTATAGGGAGAAAAATAATTCCAGTTTTGTGAGACCATAACATCTAGCACAGTAAGCAATAAGTAAAATACGCAATTTTTTAAACTGAATTGGGAGAGAAGATATAATGGCAATTTAAATTCTCAAGAAGCCAGAAGCTTAAAGATCTTTTGGGATACAGCTGTATGGACCTTCACTTATCAGTTTCATGACTTCATCAATGTATGTGTTCAAGGACACAAAACTAATTTGAATACCCTTATCAGATCTGGAAATGACAATATTTGGATTAGAATGAAGTCCTTTTCCTCTTGGCAAAGAATAGGGACAAATGATTTATTATTAAAATTAATGTTAGGAGTAATTAAATGGCAAAGCAAACTGTATCTTTCGGCATTCCTGAAATTAAACACTTTTTTGATTGGAAGAATGTTTTGGGAAGCTGAAAGAGCCTTATCAGATCTGAAAATGACAATATTTAGATTAGAAAGAATTCCATCCAAGTCCATTTTTTTCCTCTTGGCAAAGATTAGAAACAAATGATTTATTATTAGTAATAAATGATTTATTAAAGTAATGTCAGGAGTGATTAAATGGAAAACTGCAACTTTCAGCATTCCTGAAATTTTGCTGAAAAAGCTTTTTTGATTGGAAGAATGCTTTGGGAAGCTGAAAGGTTTACAAATCTCTTAAAAAAGGAAGTTATAGCATATCTGAGGATAGGATGAATATAAAAATATGGGATTAGTACAAAGTATTAGAAGTCTGAGATTAGTATTAAAAAGTTAATACTATTTTACTTCCCTAAAATTTTTCTAAGACTCACTCTGTTTTCCAGAATAATTATTTTCACCAATTTGAAGGACAATTACGAGAATAAATATCCTCAGTCCAAAAATTTCCTGACCGAGGAGATTATAACAGCTAATCCTTTAATTCAGTGATAGCAATTGTTTTGATGTGTTATCATTTTGAGATTTGAGAACAAATGATATGAAAACATTTTTGGGGGGTGCAAGATCTGGATTCGTTATGTTGATATTCTTTTCGACAATAATAAAAACAACTGTTCCTTGAAGTTGCTTTTAATTTGATATTTTCACTTTAAATTGGCTCGCTGGATTCATCAATTGAATTCAGCCATTCCAGTTCACTTCTGCATCTAAATCAGATAATTCTTGCCCTTCCTTGACATTGTAATTAGCTGCAACACATTGGGTATCAGCACTACTGTTTACTGCCAACATCTCGTTATTCATTTACCTCTCCAAAATCATGCCATTCCACTACACAGATAAACAAACAAAAAATCATTTTTTCTTCACCTTCAACATATAATATACTCTTAAAGTTTTCTCTGAATTTCTCTCAAAAATTCAATTATTTAAAATCAGGTATCACTGACAGAGAATTTTCTCAAATGGTAATTGATAAAACCTTTTCCTCTTGCCATCATTCAAGATGCATAATTACTAAAAATAACAATAACAACCTTGATGTCATAACTTTTCATTTTTTTAGCAATTACAAAACTGCTCAAATTCTCTAAAAGTCCAGTTTTCAGGTTATTTACTTAAATATCAGTAAAATTATTCTTTCAATTTTTAAGGACTAGCATATCTTGTCAGTGTGAGCAACATACACAGCCAAACTAAAAGAGCATTAAAATTTCATGTGAAGGAATACAAATCCTATGTTCAAAAAAGTAGAAATAAACCAAAGTACAACAGATAATCACAGTTGGTCTATTAACCAATATTTTCAGTTTAGTTCTATAGAAATTATTTCTTCAATCAGTAAATTAGATCACCTTGAGGTCTTTCCATGTTAAAAAATTGTTCTTCTTTAGTACATGACATCAATTTGGATCCATTTCTCAATGCCTTCAATATTCTAATAACAGCTTCGGGAAACACTTTCATGAAACATTATTATTTTCCTTGTTAGATGGAACTTTGTTTATTTTTGCATTGATTCACCCATTTATTTCCATATAAATATTTCTACATCTTTTCACCAATGCTTTCTTTTTTCCTCCTTGAAGGGGAAAAAAAAAAAAAAAAGACTCATGTGTGATAACTTTTGTCTAGTTATTTGAACATGGCAAAACACACCTGTCTTTAAGGGAAGGGATGCCTTTGCAAAGAATTTTCTATGGAAAAGAAGCTTGTATTCATGGTACATGTGGGAACAACTACAAAAACCAACAATGCACAGCTTGTTCACATGGGTTTGAATCCAAGTCAAAAACTATTACTAGTATTCAGCGGTCTTAACGGTTGGGCTCATTGTGGGGTCTTATTCCTATAAAACTGATAAGAGTTTTATTCAAAATCTATACCAAACTAAGTTTGCATTTTTGTCTAATTTTAAATTTTACACTACCGTGTTCTCCTTTAGTTAGATGTCACTAAGTATTAAAAGTACATGAAGTGAGAGAAGTATTGGCAATCTATTACTGAAAGTAATCTATATTATAAAATATTTCTCCAGATAACGAATTATTGGAGATTCGGTAAAACCTTGAACAGCCAAAAAGCTTGGAAAATGCCAAATTTCAGATATGTGAAAATTTCAGCCTACTTATGTCTTACAGACACACACACACATACACACACACACACACACACACACACAAAAAAAAAAGAAAGAAAGAAAGAAAGCAAGAAATTTACACTAATAATAATTAGCATTATCAGACAACATAGTCAAATTCAGAACTTTAAATTGTACATAAAGTTTTTGTGGGAGTTTGCTGGCTTTTGCAATGTTGCACATTCGAGATATTTGTGCTCTGTTGGCAAAAATTTCATCTAAAAACTTTTTTTGTAGGCAGAAGTGACCGGTGTATATTTATTCTATTATAAATAAAAAATACAATTACATTGCATAATCAAGCAATGCACAAAATTCACAACAGTTTAATGCCATAAACAAGGTTATCTTTGAGGCTGCATGCTGCCTTTTCCGAGGCTGCAGATTTCAGATATTTGTGATCTAGTGACAAAAATTTAATCTGAGAATTCATTCTTTTTTTTACGACAGTTGAACATTTTTTGTATTATAATTCAAAACGCCATGACTATAGCACTATCAGGCAACAGTATTATCTCAGAGGTGCAGGAATATCTGGCACATATAATAAACTCATAATATGGGATATAAGAAGTTACGGGGGGGGGAGAAAAAGACTGATTTAGATAGTAAAATGAAAGTTATCCAGCAGTATGAAGGTGGAAAGAAAGTGAAAATGGCAGCACACGATTTATGTTACCATATTCTATAATATCAACGATGCCTAAAGACAGAAGAATTTGGGAAGTTGTTAAGGGTTCTCCGCACATAAAATCTATAATTATAGCTAATCAGCAACAGGAAACCCAATGGAGTAATCTATGCATATAATGACTATGTATGCAAAATTAAACACGTGTTTTACTCAGTACAAAGTATCCAAACATCCAATATTTGGAATGATCTAATATCCAGAACTCTGAACCACCAGTAAATTTTATTTTTTCCCTTTCTGAGAATATTTTCCCCTTACAGTGTCTAGGAATGCAATATATGCAATACTTAAGGTAAAACAGGTGTACCTTAAAAGCAATTTTTCTCTGAAATAACTGAGATACTTGTCACTGTTAAATACATGCTGGCTAAGCAGCCCCTCCATGGCCAATTCACAACCACATCTTTTGGCTTTTCAGTGATTTTGTATGGGGGAACTTAAAATTTTTTTCTGCCTAACCTAAACAATAACTAAAGCTCCAAAATATATTTATTTAAAATGGGAATGTTGATGATACTGGTTTTCTGTTGGCAAAGCAAGGGGGGAGAAAGAATTAGATTCGAAAGGATTGATGTTAGGTTTTAACAATGCAAATTACACTTTTTCTTATTTCTGCAAGTTGATTTTTTTGCTATTATTATTACAGCTGTGTTATCAAAATTAAAGTTTGTGTTTTCATTATATTAATAATAGTTTATAAGAGCTGCTGCAAGATGTGCAAATGATAAGAATGTTTTGATGACAGTCAAGCAGAAAGTCACATTGCTTCAACAAAATGGATAAAGTCCATATTCGTCCGAAACTATGCTAAGAGTGTAGCACTGAAAAGTCAAAAGTATATAACAAAAGGAAAAACAGAAAAAGGAACTAAACTGTGTTGCACTGTTTCACGATGTCTGTTATAGCCCCATTTTTAAGAATTCTACAGTCTTTTCTTGTTTAAAGCATGTGCATATGTGTAACCCGAAACTCTGACACTTCCTGTTGTTCTGTAGAAAGCTTGTCCTATTTTTTTTTTTTTAATCCTAGACAAAAGCAAAAAAGAGCAACTAACATACAACTTCTTTACAAAATCTAACCTGGCTTATTGAAGATCAGGGTTACATAAAACCAAAGCAAAGTTCTTATTAGAGCCTTTAATAAGAGGGAACTGATGCATTCTTTAAAGCTATTAAGTTCCAATTTTTAAGCTAAAGCTACGCAACTCCTCCTTACCTCCACTGGTTCATGATATTGGACAACCTCTGCTAAAATGCTTTCTATTGACCTCACAACTCACTTACGTTAACAGAACTTAGATAAACTGTTATATAATATTAATTTAGAATAATTTTTTTTTTAGGAACATAGCTTGAATTTTTACAAAAACTAAATCTGTATCTTCTTGTACTTTCAAAAAGAGGTTAAAACACCAAACTACTGCTATACCTGCTTTTATATCTAAGCCCTTCCTACTACCTGACTTGCACTGCAATGTGCACAGCATGTTTTGAATATTTAACAAAATTCAATGTTGCATATGTCACTTGTAAAAGATGTAAAATATTAGTATAACTGAGCCATTTATAAGTTTATAAAAAAATGATGGCAAGTACAGGCACTTCCAATACAAGAGACCTCAGTTCTTATGAAAGTATTGCAATATCACACTTATCAATTATTGCACCATTTGGCAATATAGTTGGAAATGGTCAAAAACAAAATATAATTAATGGAAACTTTTAATTAATGGAACTTTTTAAGAAGTGATAGTGAGTGAAAATTGTATAACAGAGGTTCTCCTTTGCAACAACAATGCCTGAAGCATAATGAATTAATGAGTTGTGTAATCTGGAGTATGGTTTTAAATCCAGAAATCATTGCTACTAAAAGTGAAAGAAGGATTTCATAAATGTGGCAGTTTCAGGGCTTGAACAAAGGAACTTTGTAAATGAACAAGAAATTATGTATAATGCAGAAAATAATTATAATGCAGAAATCATTAGCACAAAAAAGAAACAGCTCAAACAACTTGTACAGAAAGAAATATTTAATAAAACAAATAAATATTGAGCTATTTTTGTAAATTTTGGATTCCATGGTCACAAAATGCTTCATTACATCATAAACAACTATTCCATATTTTCAATTTTATTATTTTGACATATCACCTTAGATTTGAACTGATGATCTAAAATACAGAAAAGATCCAAAATCTGGAACTGCTGAAGTCCCAACAGTTCTTCATCTCTGACTTTGTACTGTATAAATATGCTGAAACAAGTTTATTCACTTCCAAATCAAATAAAATTATTTGACATAATACAGTAAATTATAAATAAAATCTTCAAATAAAAATAATATTTGTCTTTAAATTATACAGAAATTCTTAAATATACAAACACCTATTACCAAGAACAAACAGAAATTAATGGTCACTCAAATTGGTAAATAATTTTAGGGAAGTTTTTAATAATTTCAATAACAGTAAAGGCTATACTATGACCACAGAGTTGGAGAGAATGTAAAATTAAATCCACTAATGTTCATTTTCATATCTTAAATTAAATCTACTTAAATCCATTTTTATATCTTAAATACTACAATCATTTATACATAATAGAAGACAAAGCTTCAATACCCTTTCTTGCAGTGGATACCACTTCAAATCGCTATTTTCAAACATCTCACTACCTAAAGGTAACATTACTTCACCAAGGAAATCATTACGTCCAAATCTATCACTGTGCCATACTGACAACCAAAGTGTTCTTATCTCCAACTCGCTGACAGTTACATTGAACTAAAAATAGGGAAGAGAGGAGATTCTGTCAACTAAGTTAGCATCATACAGAATCATTTTAATATATAAAAAAACATTAATAAAATTAACACATTTCATATTATTTGTACAACATTTAACAATTTCAAAAGTAAAAATATAATTGCCAAACATTAAATTTATAACATTTATTATGTTTGATTGTTACTGCAACAGCAATACATTTAGAAACTATCTAAACAGAGTCAAATTATTTAATCTAGCAGCATCTACAAAACAACTGCGAAATTATGCAACAAAATTAACTATTCTCCTTTTGCAGAGAACAAAAAAAAAAAAAAAAAAAAAGAACGGATGTCTGCTAGAAAATGAAGAGCTAAGTCCAGACACATTTTTTTAACCTTTAACTGCTGTCATTCTGTAATTTCTACCCCTAAAAATGGAGAATGGTCCCTGTCCTTCCTCCTACCTTCCAAAACCAGTCCAAAAAGGTCACATATCCAATTTCATACTTCTAGCTTTATTATGGTTTCAGTTACCATGTGTTTTACTTTCTAAGTTGTCTGAGACACCACTCACAGAAGATGCATACCAGTTTTAGTGGACGATTAGACGTTATTTATCAGATGCTTGTTTTTCGTAAAAATGACAAATATGGCTTCAAATTTTACATAGTATGTACTGTACATCTGACTCACAAAGAAATTGAATACTTGCCAATAATTTTTCTGATGTAGAATACTCTGATTCTGAAGAATCACATAGTATTCATAGCAAAAGAGAATCTGAGCTTTCTGCAGATGAATATGATAATGTTCCCAATGACTGTGAACAAAATAATTTTTATGGAAAAAATCATTACAAATGGTGCAAAAAAGAACCAAATCAGGGAATAAAAGCATAACATAATTATTCAGCTCTCTGGTCTGAAACATCCTGCCAAAAAAAAAAAAAAAAAAGAGGCTCTAAAGTACAGCCTGAAGATACTTAGAATTTAGTTTTTGATGAAGAAGTAATCAACTTATTCGTGAAATGGACTAATGTAAAAATCAACGAGTGCAGAATGAAATATCCTAATCCAAACAGGTATGAACTGATGAATACTAATGCATTAGAAATCAAAGCCTTCCTTGGACTTTTAATTTATTCTGCTGTATTCAAATAAAATCAGCAAGAGGTTGTTTATTTGCTGCTAACGGTACAGGATAGGATATATTTTGATGTGTTACTTCCAAAGTGAGATTTTTATTTTTATTGAACTGCTTGTGGTTTGATGACTCTAAAACAAGAAACGAGCATATGGAAACCAACAAAGCAGCTCCAATATCAGAAATATTTATGCAATCATAAAAAATTTCCAATCCATGTATTCTATTGGAGAATTAGCATATGCTGAAGAGATGCTAGTGAAATTCAGACGATGTAGCAAATATAAAATGTACATGCCCAATAAACAGCAAAATATGGATTAAAAATTATTTGCCTTTGTGATGCAAGAAAGAATTATCTTTATAATATATACATTTACTGTGGAAAAGATTCTGATAAAGATGGGCTTACAGAAGAAGGATAAAAATGTAGTAACCCGGACAACCGGTGCTCCAACTGACTGAACTTTTGAAAAGCACAAATAGAAATGTTATGGCAGACAACTGGTTTTCCTAAATGAAATTAGTGATTACCTAAAAGGTCTTACATTTATAGGTACATTGAAAAAGAATAAAAAGGAGATCCAAAAATAATTTCAAGTGAATAAGACAAGAGAAATATCTAGTTCCCTGAACGGATTTACAAACTAAATTATGCTTGTTTCTTATGTTCCCAAGAAAAGAAATTTGTAATTTTGATTTCATAGACGCACAATAAATGTGAAAACAATGGTAACAGTGGCAAACCAGAAATTATAGAGTTATACAATTTGATAAAAGGAGGTGCTGATGAATCTGACAAGAAGTGCTATATTATGTCAAGCGATCAATGAACTCAACATTGGCCTATGGAGATATTTCTTAGAATACTGGATATGTGTGCTTGTGAATTCATTCACACTGTTTCAGTCATATCCTGATGCTACAAAAACGAAAAGAAAAAAAACATGTATGCTTTTATTAGCAAGTCAACTTATTAAACTGTATCTAGAAGTTAAGATAACTTCCATTTTTTTTTTGCCAAGGGAACTTAAGATAACAGTTAGAAGAATCCTTGGACAGAATGAAATTAAGGAAATGGATTTATCAAATCAAGAAGAAAAATTAGAAAAAAAGAAAAACATGTAGTCTGTGCCCACATTGTTATAAGAGAAAAACAGCATACAAATGCTTGCAATGCAAGGAACCAGTGTGTCTTCAGTGCTCTCAAAAAATGTTTTGAATGAATGTTATCTTATGATTCATCTTTGTAAACAAAGGTATACTAATCTATTACTAAATTATAATTAAATTTATTGTTATCGAATTACGGTTTAATTGACAGTAATACTTAATAAAGTCACATATTTTCATGCATATTTAATAAAATCTCTGTTCTTTAACCCTTTGACGCAAAGTTGTCGTGCTCTGAAACCACCATTTTTCGAATTTTTTTTCTCCTCTTTTTTTCCGAATATTTGAGTGAAAATTAATTGATTACTGATCTTTTACCTCTAAATAACACAAAATGACTGCAGAATCATATATGTTTTAGGTATTAATACTTCAAATAGGATGCCTTTTAAAATTAGTTTTCGATGAGACAAAATAACTTCCTTATATTAATATAAACAACTTTAAATTTCAAAAATGAGTCATCGCACATCATGATTTCTATCATAAACAATAAAAAATTGCAATAATTAAACTGTATATATAAAAAAAACCCTCTATATGTATGGCATTTGTTATGTGGTTTCAGGGCGCGACCACTGCACCACTAGAGCATTGTGTCACAATGCTCACAATCCTCTAGAGCAGTGATTCCCAACCGGTGGTTTGCAAACCCCTGGGGGTTCGCAGTGCTTGTAGAGGGGGTTCGCGAAAATAATATTGTAATGGCAGATTTTTTAAAATGCCACTAAAATCAAAAGAAAAAAGAAGGGAAAAAAAACACAAAAATTAAAAACAGATTGTTCGCTGCCTGTTTGTTACAAAATCTACAATAAATTTCAATATTTTCATTTCTTTTTTCCTTATTTGTTTTTCAAAATTACTTCATCAATATCAAATTATATCAACAATTTTATACATTTTAATTTATTCCTCTTATTCAAGTAATCAAATACTATTCTCTTTTTATTACAAACATTTATTTATATGTAAAACATTTTATCAATGTGATTAGTATCATGTTCTGCTTTATATTTAAAATCATTGCAGCAGTTTTCCCTTCTATGTAATATTTTTTTTTACAATACAATGGAAATAAATATCAAATTAAGGCAGTTTACTACAGATTTTAGAATTAGATACTTGTTCACAACCAGGAACTGGAAGAGTAGTGTTATTAACTGTCTATTTTGTCTGTCTGTTGACGTTCATACATAGGCTTAGCGCTTGTAAAGCTTGAGTAATGTGACTTTCAAGTTCTGTCAGGTGATACTGTGATACTGACTGTCAAGTGATACTGTGACTGTCAAGTTCTCGTGTAAATGATTTAATAATTATTAATTTAATTATCATTATAGCTTATTTTTATTATGGATCTATGGTTAAAAACGGGTCGTTTAGGAACAAGACATGATAATCGAGATGATAGTACTGAAAGCTGTAGTGAGGTACAGTTTCACCAGACGAAAAACAAAGGAAATGATGATAGAAAAGGAAAAAAGTGAAAATATGACAGAGACTATCTACAATTGGGTTTTCATTTTACTGAGGATGAGTCAGAACCTAAACCGCTTTGTGTTATATGTAACAAAGTTCTTGCCAACAACAGTTTAAAACCATCACTTCTTTGTAGACATATTGAAACAAAACATCCGACACACAAAGATAAACCTCTTGAATATTTCAAAACAAAATTAGCAGACATCAAAAAGTGTAGCCTTTCTTCTTTCTTGACTTCAAACGAAGATAGTAAAATGGCCCTTGAAGCATCGAGTAAGTTATAGAATTGCAAAATCTGAACAAGCGCATACAATAGCAGAAAATTTAATTGGACTATGTGCAAAAGATATCACCAAATGTATGCTTAGGGAAAAGGCAGCAAAGAAAATTGAGCTAATTTCCTTATCAAACAACACTGTGTCGCGTTTGAATTAATGACTTGGCTAATTATGTGCAGAACAAATTTCTAAAAAGAATAAAATTGAATTATTTTGCAATTCAACTTGACGAATCGACGGATGTAACAAATGCCGCAGACTTGCTTGTCTACATTAGATATATTTTTACGAATATTGTTCAAGAAGATGTACCTTTGAAAACCTACACAACTGGAGAAGTGATTTTCAATATGATCAATGGCTATTTTGAAAAGAATGGAATAAGCTGGTCTTACTGTGTGGGTGTGTGTACAGATGGTGCAAAATCAATGACAGGAAAATTTTCTGGTTTTGTGGCACTGGTGAAGAAGATCAACAAGAAAATTCAATGGACTCATTGTTGTATTCATAGACAAGCTTTAGTATGTAAGTGTATTCCTGCAGAGTTATCTACTACTTTAAGAGAGGCTGTGAAAATTGTGAACTTTATAAAATCGCGTGCTACAAATTGGCATCTATTCCGTACGCTTTGTGAGGATTTTGGAAGTTTCCACGTTTCTTTTAATACTTCACACAGAACTTAGATGGCTTTCCCATGGTAAAATTTTGACGCGTTTATTTGAATTGAAGTCTAATGTTCAAGCATTTTTTTTGATGATCCCCTACATAGGGGGTTCGTCAAATTTTTTCAGACCTTTCTTTTGGTTTGTGAGGAAAAAGCTTGGGAAACACTGCTCTAGAATATCGGTGGTCGCGCCTTGAAACCACTGCCGTTTGCTTGCTTTTCAAATAGGAATGTTTAATTTTTCAAGGATATAGATAAGGGGCTTTGAAACCACAGTTA